CCATACTACGTTGAATACACCGGTTCTCGTCCGATCACCGAAGTTAAGCAACGTCGGGCTTGGTTAGTACTTGGATGGGAGACCGCCTGGGAATACCAGGTGTCGTAGGCTTTTTGTTTTTTTGTCTGGGGGCGCTGTTAGTGCGTTGCAATTTGGGGGTTGGCCATTTTGGGGTTCCGAATTTGTTTAGTTTTTTTGGAACGGCGGAGGCCAAGTTTGGTTCAAAACTGGCTAAAAGAAAGTTTACATCGCCTACGACCATACTACGTTGAATACACCGGTTCTCGTCCGATCACCGAAGTTAAGCAACGTCGGGCTTGGTTAGTACTTGGATGGGAGACCGCCTGGGAATACCAGGTGTCGTAGGCTTTTTGTTTTTTGTCTGGGGGCGCTGTTAGTGCGTTGCAATTTGGGGGGTTGGCCATTTTGGGGTTCCCAATTTGTTTACACCGGTTCTCGTCCGATCACCGAAGTTAAGCAACGTCGGGCTTGGTTAGTACTTGGATGGGAGACCGCCTGGGAATACCAGGTGTCGTAGGCTTTTTGTTTTTTGTCTGGGGGCGCTGTTAGTGCGTTGCAATTTGGGGGGGTTGGCCATTTTGGGGTTCCGAATTTGTTTAGTTTTTTTTTTTTTTGGAACGGCGGCGGCCAAGTTTGGTTCAAAACTGGCTAAAAGAAAGTTTACATCGCCTACGACCATACTACGTTGAATACACCGGTTCTCGTCCGATCACCGAAGTTAAGCAACGTCGGGCTTGGTTAGTACTTGGATGGGAGACCGCCTGGGAATACCAGGTGTCGTAGGCTTTTTCTTTTTTGTCTGGGGGCGCTGTTAGTGCGTTTCAATCTAGGGGGTTGTTCATTGTGGGGTTCCGAATTTTTTTGTTTTTTATTTTTTGGAACGGCGGCGGCCAAGTTTGGTTCAAAACTGGCTAAAAGAAAGTTTACATCGCCTACGACCATACTACGTTGAATACACCGGTTCTCGTCCGATCACCGAAGTTAAGCAACGTCGGGCTTGGTTAGTACTTGGATGGGAGACCGCCTGGGAATACCAGGTGTCGTAGGCTTTTTGTTTTTTGTCTGGGGGCGCTGTTAGTGCGTTGCAATTTAGGGGGTTGGTCATTGTGGGGTTCCGAATTTTTTTTTGTTTTTTATTTTTTTGGAACGGCGGCGGCCAAGTTTGGTTCAAAACTGGCTAAAAGAAAGTTTACATCGCCTACGACCATACTACGTTGAATACACCGGTTCTCGTCCGATCACCGAAGTTAAGCAACGTCGGGCTTGGTTAGTACTTGGATGGGAGACCGCCTGGGAATACCAGGTGTCGTAGGCTTTTTGTTTTTTGTCTGGGGGCGCTGTTAGTGCGTTGCAATTTGGGGGGTTGTTCATTGTTGGGTTCCGAATTTTTTTTGTTTTTTGTTTTTTTGGAACGGCGGCGGCCAAGTTTGGTTCAAAACTGGCTAAAAGAAAGTTTACATCGCCTACGACCATACTACGTTGAATACACCGGTTCTCGTCCGATCACCGAAGTTAAGCAACGTCGGGCTTGGTTAGTACTTGGATGGGAGACCGCCTGGGAATACCAGGTGTCGTAGGCTTTTTGTTTTTTTGTCTGGGGGCGCTGTTAGTGCGTTGCAATTTGGGGGTTGGTCATTGTGGGGTTCCGAAATTTTTTTTGTTTTTTGTTTTTTTGGAACGGCGGCGGCCAAGTTTGGTTCAAAACTGGCTAAAAGAAAGTTTACTTCACCTACGACCATACTACGTTGAATACACCGGTTCTCGTCCGATCACCGAAGTTAAGCAACGTCGGGCTTGGTTAGTACTTGGATGGGAGACCGCCTGGGAATACCAGGTGTCGTAGACTTTTTGTTTTTTGTCTGGGGTCGCTGTTAGTGCGTTGCAATTTTGGGGGTTGGCCATTTTGGGGTGCTGAATTAGTTTTTGTTTGTTTTTTGGAACGGCGGCGGCCAAGTTTGGTTCAAAACTGGCTAAAAGAAAGTTTACATCGCCTACGACCATACTACGTTGAATACACCGGTTCTCGTCCGATCACCGAAGTTAAGCAACGTCGGGCTTGGTAAGTTCTTGGATGGGAGACCGCCTGGGAATACCAGGTGTCGTAGGCCTTTTGTTTTTTGTCTGGGGGCGCTGTTAGTGCGTTGCAATTTTGGGGGTTGTTCATTGTGGGGTTCCGATTGTTTTTTTGTTTTTTGTTTTTTTGGAACGGCGGCGGCCAAGTTTGGTTCAAAACTGGCTAAAAGAAAGTTTACATCGCCTACGACCATACTACGTTGAATACACCGGTTCTCGTCCGATCACCGAAGTTAAGCAACGTCGGGCTTGGTTAGTACTTGGATGGGAGACCGCCTGGGAATACCAGGTGTCGTAGGCTTTTTGTTTTTTGTCTGGGGGCGCTGTTAGTGCGTTGCAATTTGGGGGGTTGGTCATTGTGGGGTTCCGAAATTTTTTTTGTTTTTTGTTTTTTTGGAACGGCGGCGGCCAAGTTTGGTTCAAAACTGGCTAAAAGAAAGTTTACTTCACCTACGACCATACTACGTTGAATACACCGGTTCTCGTCCGATCACCGAAGTTAAGCAACGTCGGGCTTGGTTAGTACTTGGATGGGAGACCGCCTGGGAATACCAGGTGTCGTAGACTTTTTGTTTTTTGTCTGGGGGCGCTGTTAGTGCGTTGCAATTTTGGGGGTTGGCCATTTTGGGGTGCTGAATTAGTTTTTGTTTGTTTTTTGGAACGGCGGCGGCCAAGTTTGGTTCAAAACTGGCTAAAAGAAAGTTTACATCGCCTACGACCATACTACGTTGAATACACCGGTTCTCGTCCGATCACCGAAGTTAAGCAACGTCGGGCTTGGTAAGTACTTGGATGGGAGACCGCCTGGGAATACCAGGTGTCGTAGGCCTTTTGTTTTTTGTCTGGGGGCGCTGTTAGTGCGTTGCAATTTTGGGGGTTGTTCATTGTGGGGTTCCGATTGTTTTTTTGTTTTTTGTTTTTTTGGAACGGCGGCGGCCAAGTTTGGTTCAAAACTGGCTAAAAGAAAGTTTACATCGCCTACGACCATACTACGTTGAATACACCGGTTCTCGTCCGATCACCGAAGTTAAGCAACGTCGGGCTTGGTTAGTACTTGGATGGGAGACCGCCTGGGAATACCAGGTGTCGTAGGCTTTTTGTTTTTTGTCTGGGGGCGCTGTTAGTGCGTTGCAATTTAGGGGGTTGGTCATTGTGGGGTTCCGAATTTTTTTTGTTTTTTATTTTTTTGGAACGGCGGCGGCCAAGTTTGGTTCAAAACTGGCTAAAAGAAAGTTTACATCGCCTACGACCATACTACGTTGAATACACCGGTTCTCGTCCGATCACCGAAGTTAAGCAACGTCGGGCTTGGTTAGTACTTGGATGGGAGACCGCCTGGGAATACCAGGTGTCGTAGGCTTTTTGTTTTTTGTCTGGGGGCGCTGTTAGTGCGTTGCAATTTGGGGGGTTGTTCATTGTTGGGTTCCGAATTTTTTTTTGTTTTTTGTTTTTTTGGAACGGCGGCGGCCAAGTTTGGTTCAAAACTGGCTAAAAGAAAGTTTACATCGCCTACGACCATACTACGTTGAATACACCGGTTCTCGTCCGATCACCGAAGTTAAGCAACGTCGGGCTTGGTTAGTACTTGGATGGGAGACCGCCTGGGAATACCAGGTGTCGTAGGCTTTTTGTTTTTTTGTCTGGGGCGCTGTTAGTGCGTTGCAATTTGGGGGGTTGGTCATTGTGGGGTTCCGAATTTTTTTTTGTTTTTTGTTTTTTTGGAACGGCGGCGGCCAAGTTTGGTTCAAAACTGGCTAAAAGAAAGTTTACTTCACCTACGACCATACTACGTTGAATACACCGGTTCTCGTCCGATCACCGAAGTTAAGCAACGTCGGGCTTGGTTAGTACTTGGATGGGAGACCGCCTGGGAATACCAGGTGTCGTAGACTTTTTGTTTTTTGTCTGGGGGCGCTGTTAGTGCGTTGCAATTTGGGGGGTTGGCCATTTTGGGGTTCCGAATTTTTTTTTGTTTTTTGTTTTTTTGGAACGGCGGCGGCCAAGTTTGGTTCAAAACTGGCTAAAAGAAAGTTTACATCGCCTACGACCATACTACGTTGAATACACCGGTTCTCGTCCGATCACCGAAGTTAAGCAACGTCGGGCTTGGTTAGTACTTGGATGGGAGACCGCTTGGGAATACCAGGTGTCGTAGGCTTTTAGTTTTTTGTCTGGGGGCGCTGTTAGTGCGTTGCAATTTTGGGGGTTGTTCATTGTGGGGTTCCGATTTTTTTTTTGTTTTTTGTTTTTTTGGAACGGCGGCGGCCAAGTTTGGTTCAAAACTGGCTAAAAGAAAGTTTACATCGCCTACGACCATACTACGTTGAATACACCGGTTCTCGTCCGATCACCGAAGTTAAGCAACGTCGGGCTTGATTAGTACTTGGATGGGAGACCGCCTGGGAATACCTGGTGTCGTAGGCTTTTTGTTTTTTGTCTGGGGGCGTTGTTAGTGCGTTGCAATTTTGGGGGTTGGCCATTTTGGGGTTCCGATTTTTTTTTTAATTTTTTTTTTTGGAACGGCGGCGGCCAAGTTTGGTTCAAAACTGGCTAAAAAGAAGGTTAACATCGCTTACGACCATACGTTGCTTAACTTCGGTGATCGGACGAGAACCGGTGTATTCAACGTAGTTTGGTCGTAGGCGATGTAAACCTTCTTTTAACCAGTTTTGAACCAAACCCTGCCGCCGCCGTTCCAAAACAAAAAATTCGGAACCCCAAAATGGCCAACCCTCAACTTGCAAAGCACTACCAGCGCCCCCAGACAAAAAAAATACGATAACGTATATCCTGAATGGTAGGGTACATTGAGAGGTATTTGCATTGCATGGATGTTATTAAGACGGAGTTACCATGCACATTGTTGGACAAAACACGCACTTTTGAGACTTTTGTCGAAAGTATGATTTCGTAAAACCACAACTATTGGGTTGATTTTTGTTTTAATTGTCGTAAAAGTGTACAGATGTACATACCTGTACATATTTGTTTTTGAAAAAGTCCATTTCACTCAAACACAGTCTTAATTGACCATAAAACAAAGACGAAGATTGGAAAAATGCATGTATTGTTTTTCCATCAATCTGAGATGTTAACCTACATGTAAGTTCAATGCGTGTACATGTACATTCGTCTTTTATTTCACATTGAGTACATGACAAGTTAATGAGGACAAGAGTGAAACGATATATGAATAAACGTGGAAAAAGAACAAGATAAATGCGTACGTCTTGGTGCAAGATATTTATATTGGCTTCATCCAAATTTATGCTGAAAAGACCGAAAACAAACACTAAAGCAGTGATTCTGAGGCTGGTTCTTTTATAGATGGCCTGCACTGCCTGTAGTATCCGGTTATCATCCATTGCATAAAATTCCTCCTCGGATTGGCAACCAATTTTGCTCAAATTGAAGCTTTTTCACTTGAACGCTACTTGTTATTGGCTGGTTGTCAGAAACTGCGGCTGTTGTCTTCACGCGCACAGATATCAATATCATGTGTTTTTGTCCTTCCCGTAGGGGTCATTGCGGGATGTGAGATATTTGGTGAAGACATCCCCCAACTCCGTCGGTAAAAAGAGCTTTAAAATGGCTGTTAAAAAGAGGAGCTATACAAACTTATTAGTTTTAGTTTAAAACTAGTTGTTAAAAAGATTTGATCAACGAAATACACGGTTCAGGTTGGCAACAGTGAGCCAACTGAGTTTTGAAGAAAAAAATGAAGACTTTAATTGAAAATCAGAAGACCATGGTGCTAATGTACGTTCCCATTGTTCTTGTGTCCATCATGATGCAGCACGAAGTGTCCATCATTATCACCTTAAGTGAGAGTCAAGAGTTTTGCTCTTCAGACGTCTTGCTCGCGCACGCTCTTGGCACTCCGTATCAGCTCGGCCGTCCGTCGTTGCATCTCGGCGCTCCTGTCTAGCGCCGTGTCCGTCCGTTGCTTCAACCAGTCCATGTGCGGTAAGGAACAACTTTTGGGACCTGTGAGAATCAAGAAACGTCACAAAAACTTAATCAATAGGGCATATCAAACCATCAGAAAACCAATACGTGTTCATGTAAATCAGAAGTAACTGCAAACGATGAACAGCTCTGCAGGATTTTTGTGAATACAATAATCGTTTGATTGATCATTCGTTAAGTTAAGAAGAAGAGTATCGATTGTTTTGACAATCGATCGTTGAGTAAGTAGAAAATGCATTATCAACTGAGTGATTGATTCCATTGTGCAATCAATCAATATATACATCAATCAATTATTGCAGTTTCCTTGTATTCTGGATTGATCTATTGATCAATTAATAAACTAACCAACCAACAAACTGCGATCGATCAACCGACCAAGAAACAGATAAATTCCAACCACATATCAAGCAATTGCTATCCATACAGGCAGTCAACTCAATATCTAAATGTATGTTCCCGTTCAATGTATAGGGAAAATACTACTTCGTGTTTGCGGTTGTAAAAAAGATTCGCTGAGGCGCCTAATATACCATTTTTCACAACTTAGTGTCGTTTCCCTCTGTCTGCTGCATCCACTTGAGGTCGTTCAAGTTGCCTTATAAATTAACTCTAATTTCATTTGTATAGGTTGACTCAGTTTTAAAGGTTTTACAGTCACTTCGCCCATTTCCCAGTTCGCCCATAACCACTTCGCCCACAACCAGTTCGCCCATTTCCATATTTATAATATGACGTTTAGAGCAATCTCATCTGTTAAAAAAAGAATATACAATTATTTTTAATTAAATTAAAGAAAATATTTTTCCAATCTTTAAATATGTTTTCAATTATAAATATTTACAGTTGGAATGTAATAAATAATCAAGTTCTGAAAACGAATCTAAATTTTTTTCAAACTTATTTGCTATAAAAAATACTTGTCCCATTATGTATAATCATCAAACCCGAATTATCCCCGTTCGTATACACGTACGTAAGGGGGGGGGTGGGCGAAGTGGTAATGGGCGAAGTGGTAAATGGGCGAAGTGGTAAATGCGCGAAGCGGTTAATAGGCAAAGTGGTAAGTGGGCGAAGTGGTAAATGGGCGAAGCGGTTAATAGGCAAAGTGGTAAATGGGCGAAGTGACCAACGCCCTTTTAAGGTAGCTATACCCTTGACCTAAAGGGCACGATACAGCGTTGAAGATTTCTCCAAACGGATCAGTCCAGCCAAGACATCACCAACCCAGCTCACACAAGGTACAGGCCATGTGTCCCGTGAAGTCATGGCGACAGCCAGACAACTGCTGGGCGACCCAAACATTTAAGTATCTTTTGCACGTTATTTTGGCCCACTTAACGATACATTACAACACTTTTAAACCATCACATTTCAAGAGACATACAGGGGGAGTCAAAAAAAAGTAAACCCAAATGTCGCCTTCTATTTTGTAAAGAAGTTCTGCATGCAGCGCTTTCCAGATCAAGGGTGTGAAAGCCCAAGTAATGAGCTTTCTTTTAGTACGAGAATCATTCAAATCAATCATGTACTTTTTGAGTTACGGAATTTTGAACACAAACACAGTGTTAACATATTGTCCACGGATCACATTAAAGGTATTGATGTTTCAGTATAAAAGTTAAACCCTGTCGTACCATGAAAACGACATCAGAAAATCACATAAGTATCCGGGTATAGCCAAGTAGATGGCAGGGCATGACTATAAACTCTTGATATTGTAAGCATGTCTTAACATTGGAAGCATGTTTTTAAGAAAAGTTAGGATAAGTGCCAGTTATAAGGTTATGAGAGTATTCTCATATGTGAATTTGCTGAAATATCACTTATAATAACTTTATTGTAGTCCGTGGACACAAAATTAATGTAAAACTGTGTTTGTGTTTAAATCTTCGGACGCTGAGTGGCATTTCTTTGCCACATCACATGGGAAAGGACCGTGTGATGGATTGGGTGGAACTGTGATGGATTGGGTGGAACTATAAAGCATTTAGCCGCAAAAGCCAGTCCTAGTTCAGAGGCCGTATGAAAACCAAATCTTGAATGCTCAGCAGCTGTTTTTGTGGGCTAAGGTGAATATTCCAGGAATACAGTTTGATTTTGTGGACAAGAGTGAAATGCAACAGTGTGCAGAATTACATGAGAGTTGATTCTCATCAGCAGTGACTGTTCAGGGTACGCAACAGCTCTACGCTTTCTACCCGCACCCAGTACGGCGGACTCACATCCAGGTGAAAATCATATCGAACGAACACAATTCCAAGTCTGTGAAAGTCAGTTAATTTCAAGAAGCGCCGCGAATACAGTCTTGAATGAGTAAGGTAACTTTGATTGCGATATTGAGTATTATCGTCAAGCGAACTTGAATCCTCGATCCTGATTAGTCTATTCATAGCAACAACAGTGTGATATTTATATAATATTGCACGACAATATTGCACCCCGCATATTGAATGTACATATATTATGTGTTTTTTCTAAGTTGCATGCCTTTTCCTGCAGCACGTACACTTTGCACATACATCCTCACCACGTACGCCTTCGACCTATTTTCGAGTAGTACATTATAGGGTTGTAATTGGCGCCACCAAAGTCAAAATAGTCCAACCCCCCCCCCCCCCCCCCATTAGGCCCTTAGGCCTAATTATGCCATGCAATAAGTATAAGTTCAGAGCGCTGCTTTCAGCAGGCACCCTGGAGTTGTCAAAGTGAGGTTTAAATTGAAACGGTTTTGTCAAAGGAAGTGCCTTGTAAAATGACTCATAATTATGATACAGGCCAGCTGGGAAGGCAAGCATTGCGCGGATTGCATTCAATACACAAAGTAGTGGTAACTGAAGAATTCATACGACAATGCACATTAACAACGTTATTGAGAGGATTTCCCGCACAATTGTTGCAACGGAATATGGCTTTCATTTTTTAAATGACATGTTGTTGTTAAGAAAGAAAATTACATATTGTCTTAGAAAGTATTTTTACATTTTTGCGATCTGCGATTGTTTCGTGTCTTGGTCAAATCTTGCCATAAGGAAGGAACTCAAAAAAGAACAATCAAATGGCGCTTTCTCGCAAACTGTTTCTTTATTTATTTCTGTGTATTAAAATTAAGTTTAAGTTTAAGACTGACGAACAGAAATGGTACAGAGCGTTGTACATGTAGTAGCGAAAAAGTTTATATTTAATAATAAGTGTCAGGATTTACCTCTCTTGTCGATAACTGCCTTTAAAAGCTTGGTACATTTGTATTTTTAAACAGAGAAAGCCATTGCTACAAGAAACGGGTCACTTGATGAACTACATAATAAATGGGCTAATCTTTTTAATAAGACCCTTTTTAAAATATTATCTAATGTTTAGATAACTTAGGTGGTATTGTCTATTGTCCAGTCCATTGTTTTTGTGTTGTCTTGTCTGTCGGTCGTCTGTTTTTGAGTATTCCAGAAAATGACTTTTGCTGATGTACTGATTTACTTTTTAGTTTTTTGCTCAATCTGTTGTATTTGTATGTTTTTATGTTGCATATTGAAATTTAAAAAAAATTAAAAAGAAAAAAAGAAAGAAAAAATGGTACAGAGTGCCATACGAATAGAAGTAGTATCATTGACCATCAACCTGCTGATTGTCAACTCAAGTCCAAAGTCTGTAAACAACTCTGCGGGATACGTTTCTTATCTTCAAATATATAATTACGAGCAATTAATTTATGAGTAACAGAGTCCAAGCTAAATAAAATATATAAGGAATGTCATGGGAACTGGAAGCGTGATGATGTTTCTTATCATTTTAATGACTGAAATGCGAGATATAGATAAATATAGTAGGCGATTACGAAAATGTACGTTTTTAATTTGTTTAATGAAAAATATATGGCGTAAAGCAACCAGCTGGCAAGGCTAAACAAGCAATTATGCATGCAACCAATAAATCGACAACAAAATTCAAAACAGTTACATGTACTCGTAATGTAAAGTAGAAAATGAAAGTGTACCACAATATTCTCACACATTCCATTCTCAACAAAATGCAAAATTATAAACCAGGAATTATTAATAAACCAGCCATGCAACCAACAAGTCATACTAAAAAAACAATACATATTTCAACCTCACCAACGAACTAACCGATCTGTATGTTCAACCAATTACATGTACATGCAAGCATTTAACTAATTAACCAACAAACAAACAAACAAGAATTGAAAGGCCGGCAAAACTTACGGTATCTCCATCTCCGTGCTTTAACCTCCTCAGCGAGCCACGACTTCGTGGGAGACCGGAGCTTCACGCCGATTTCCCCGTCTACCTCTTGCGTGCTTCGCGCTGACCGCGGGGTGACAGCGGACATTGAGTATCTTCTCTTGTTAGGCGTCGTCGTGATCTCATGCGCGTCCGAGTCGTGGTCCCATGGGTCATCCGTCTCAAACGGCGGGGAGGTTTGGATGCCTTCGTCCGCTGACAAGGCATCCTCGTGGTCGGTCTTGGACTGAGATGGGGATGGACTGGATTCTATATTGCACCCGGATGAAAAAGTTCCTCCTTCGTGTTGTATTGGAGTTGATGAACCTGGGCAGGATTCCAGAAGATCTGGCTGTGTGTCGATAGAAGATATTTCCTTTGTTGAAGTTTCTGTCCCGTTCTCCGGAACTTCTTTGATAGTATCGAGTTCTTCTCCCATTTGATAATCCGTGCAATCCTGATGCACATAAATTGGAGCTATGTTTGGAGTTACTCTGACGAAATGCATCATCTTGAATTCCATCAACCACCGCATGATACTGGAACAAAATCCTGTCCGTATTCCAATACACCAAACAAAACTCGTAAACTTACAAACTCGTCAACTTTTGTAGTTGTCACTGGAGAAAGCAGTGTAGAAGTCAACGACGTTGGATTTCTGCACCTTGCTATGGAATTTCCGTATGAATCATACAGGATTAAAGTTCCGTTGGCGCAAGCGTGTTTATATTCCTTCGCTTTCATTCACTTCGCACACACAAGGTGCATTTTTCAAACTGTGTTGAAAACACCTTCCATTGTGTGCCAGCAGAATGAGTCACCAGCCTTTGTGCAAAATCGTTCAAGCGAGATGCACCCAGCTGGTTTAGAGTGACAGAGCTCACTGTGCTTTGACAGTGTGTGTGTGTGTGTGTGTGACCTGACGGGTATTGTGACAGGAAAACTCACCTGTTGTGCATGCCAGTGCAAGAGTTTTGGACCCATTGACTTATTTATAAAATCATTACTCATACAGTGTAGCTTGGTATTCAGTAATGCAATTTGACATTTAGTGCTAAGGCAAAGTTCAGGCTATGCATGATTTTAACAGACATTCCTTGTAAAAAAATATAATGGCATTCCAATACTTTGAAACGGTTTCATGATGAGTTCATTTCGCCGGGAAAACCAACAATTCAATGGAGAGAAAGTAGGCCTAGTCGGTTCGGGCAGGTCGATCTCAATGTTATAAACATATCTAGGAAAAACGCACAGAAAAATGAGAGTATTCTCTCAGGCAAAAATGCGAATTTTGAATATATTTTTCCCAAAACACTAGTAGACAATGTTCACAGTGATGACGATTGCCACACAATGGTGAATCTAACCTGGGTGGACACATGGAGGAAGAAAAGGCAGGTAAACAGACTACAAGTCCATGGCATGTGTGACTAGATGATATCGGTTTTATTGGTTTTCGGGTTTTTTCCTCTTTCTTTCTTGGCGTACATTGGCGAAGACGGTGATGACAACGACCGCTATAGCTTTGGGTAAAAAAACTACCTCTAGAACTATGTGTTAAAACAAAAGACCTCAAGAACTATTTGACGGGAGCTAGACTGGCAACGGAGGACTGGGGGTGAGCATCATCTGACCAATGTTAACAAAAAAAAAGAGAATTACTCTTTCATTTTTGGTTTGGAAATACTCAATATATAAGGCTTTAACCGTATGGAATTATGAAAATTTAATGATACTAAATATGAGCATGGCACTGTTCGAAAAACACGTCACTCGCATTTCGTGAAAAGGACATGCCAAAAATTGTCTTGGTTTTATTTGAAAAGTCTCCTCCAACCAAATGTCCCACAACCAAATGGTTATATGTACAAGATACCTACCATACTGAAGGGCAACAAAATATCTTCAACAACTAACTGTATTTAAGTTAGAGGGGAAAAGTGCCGTCACTCGCATTTCCGTCACTCGCATTTCAGTTTGTCCGTTCATTAAGTTATGATCAAAATGAAGTTTTTCCTCCACAAATCTTATCAAGTCTTTAATAGCTAAGTCTTTTCAAACAACCTTTATATACCTTTTCAGTGTGCTGAAAATGCTAATTGCAATGAAAAAAAAGTATTTTAAGTTACAGGGGGAAAATGCCGTCACTCGCATTTCCGTCACTCGCATTTCAGTTTGTCAATTAATTAAGTTGTGAACAAAATGAAGCTTTTCCTCCACAATTCTCATCAAATCTGGGCTTTGCCTTTTCAAACAACCTACAAAGTTGTTTTAAAAGACTCAAAATATTAATTACAATGACAAAAAAAGTATTTTCTGAAATATTTACAAATGTACTGTAATCCAATAATCCGCAGCCGCAAAGGCACTATGCTCTCTAGTTTCTGCAGTCCACACTTAAGTTGTTAAAAAAATGAATTGTTTTCATCCATTCATGTATTATTTGAATGAACTTACAACCTTAGCCGCAGGAGCATGAATTATTTCACCAAAATTAACTTTCAACAATTAAATTAAAAGTATTATTCGTGTAGGGTCAGACTGTTCATATAGAAACAAAACTTGGAACTATTCCTATGGAGATACAATGCATCATGGGTACCATAAATGATGCCCGCCTTCTATAGGTCTAAGACAATATGCATACTTAGTGCATGTACTTTGCACATCCCTCAATATTACCATCTTGGAGCTTCTCTGTCTGCATTCTTATAATAGAAAGTGATATCGTCAGTCGCATTTCATTTGTCACTCGCATTTCATTTGTCACTCACATTTCAAATGTCAAGGGCTCTCTATTATACTGTGCTGGGTTTTTGGTTTTAATACTTGTTGCTTTTATACTTGGTATTGATGGGAGAAGCAAATTATCAATTGTCAGCAATTTAATCACTACCAGTTTAAAATAATAATAAAAAAAGGGATCTTTTCGTCACTCGCATTTCGTATGTCTAAGCATCCACAGCTGTGTACCTATATGTCTTCAAGATAAGCATGGGCAGATTTTCATGTTATTGTTTTTAAGGTATAAAGTCATACTTGTATATTGCATAATAAGTTTGTGACTAATGGTTTGTCTAATAAAAATATACAAACAAATGAAAATGCACATAAAGAAGTACATTTTATAAGCCAAACATCACCAGGAATTAACGTGACACATTTCATAGAAAACGATGAAGATTTGACTAAAAAAGTGTATATCCTGGTCCTTACATCTATTCAATAGATGTCCCTGTTTGCTTGGAATTGCCCATGTACTTGCTAATGCGTTTGCTCTGTGTAGGCCCATGAGTTGACCTGACATCACGATATCCCCACCCCACACCGTACATTTTAGGGATCCCAATTTTCAACACGTAGCCTACATTTCCTTCAAAATATACCATCGTAAAATCCTAACTCTATCATAAGCATTCCATTACAAAGTTCACAAATCGCCTGCAGCCACTTTCTCTAGAAACGCATGATGAGGATTTTTATTAGGCGTTTACGTAGTTGTCACCGAGCGGCCTTGATGTCAAGTCACTAATTGGCTTGCGTATCTTTGACTTTTGTTGTTTCCGGCTTGGCTGTGCGTGTACATGTACACACTGCACTGTACATGTACGAAAAATCCACCATTACAGCGTTTTCAGATCCTGCCGCTTCACCGCGCCACTACACAGTAACCTGCCTTGTACGTCAGGGGTCGTTTCTGTGTTTCCGATCTCGGCCCTCTGAAATCCGATGAAGTGTCTTTGGAGTGACAGTTGAGCAAAGTACTGCTTGAAAAATCCCCCAAAAATGCGTTTCTGGAGCGGCGGTGCGCGGCGGTCGTGTGCTCATCTGAGCACGATACATTGTACAGGAAAGTAAGTACTTACTACATGCAGGTCTGCATAATTCGTAAAACGAGGGATTCTGTGGAGCGATATCAGACATACTTCGATGCACAATGGCATGGGTAGAAAAGAGCCTAATACTGCGACTTGTTGTGAGGAGGCGCGGTGTGGACACACGCTCGTTCTTCTATCAAAATTGAACAGTGTCGGAAACCATTCCCGATCATTTGCCGGGCCTAAGAAAACGCCTATTTGCTGGATATTCTGGAATTTATCTTGACAAATGTTTCAGTGCATTGTCTATAAAGTTGCGCCGCGTTGCTCAGCCGCACGAGAAACGCGTTTTCGGGACTTAATCAAGTCATACTGCTGTGCACAAAAGTATGCTTGTAATACAGACACAAAACCAAGTGATTATGTGGTTCTCCCCGAACCGCGATGTCAGCGTTAATATTCTCTGTTCATTTCAGTACATTTGTAGGTATTTCTATGTTTCCTGCTGGCTCAATGAAACACAAAAAAATCTAATTAATGACGTAATCTGACACCTCGGACGTCATGTATTATTATTATTATTATTTATTCGACCTCAACAAACAATAACAAACAGTGATACAAATCCAAACAAAAATTACACAAAAGTGGTTGAAACGCACAACAAAAGAAACGTATAAACATGTAATTTAAATTTAAATTAAAATTTAAATTATTAAAAAATCATGAAGTAGAGGGCATACAAATTTTCTATTTAAAGCGCCGGTATTTAAAGCGTACCACGCTCGAAACACTCGTCAGTTTATCGTCGTCAGAGGCAGTGGAAAGAACATGGACGCATTTGCTGATTGTCTGGAGGTGATGGTTGATACGTCTGATCCGTTTTACATCGAAGTGACGGATGCCCAGCGAGAGATTGATAAGAAGCGAAGCGATGTGGCCAATCCATCCGTCTCTGAATTGCAATCAGTCCCACCAAAAGACGAAACTCGCCAAACCAAGAAATCATCGGCGCCATTTGACACCATCTCCCGTCAAGATTTTTTAACCATCGTGTTACAGGAGTCAGTGGTGGTGGTGGTGGCCGTGGAGAAAATTGCCTCGGCGGCGCGGGCGCTTCAGGAGTCGGACAACATACGGTACCACCGAGCCCCAAAACGGCCAAGACGTGTTCCGGAATCTGATTTGGAAGTTGAATCTGGTGATGAGAGTATACACAACTAGCGCCGCACCACCGCTCCATGCCAGAAATAGTCTTGCAATTGCTCAACGGTATCTCAACGTCAGGACCCACCCCGGCCCGCCAGATGGAGAATCGGCAAGCGCACGCTGCACGATCACGCCACGATGTTGCCAGTCATGTCAATCCGTCGCTAAGTGGGATCAGTCCAACAGAAAGACGAAACTAAACAAACCTGGTTGAGTGCTGACAAGCTTAGATTTCGGCGTCCTTCATCCCATACACCGTACGCGTATTTTTAAATTCTAAGTATTACTAAATAATTTTCATTTTGACAAGTTTTTGCACTTATTTGGAAATAAAGAGAAAGCGTAGTTGCACGTATATCTTTGTCAGTTGTTTATTGTGAGATATTTCTGTGTTTCCGTGGGTCCTCGAACTGTACTTGCGCACTTACTACTGCACGATGCAGGCATGCGCGCCCGTAACACACGTACGAGAAACCCATCATGAGTACCTTCAGCTGACGCCACTTCACCGCGCTGTACAAAATGTACATCACAGGACGTTTCTGTGTTTCTCGTTTAGGTGCACTGTCTACGGAGTATATTCCGTTGCTCCACCGCACGAAAAACTCGTTTTTGGCACTCAAATAAAATATATCTGTCGAGCACTTTCCTCGCATGATGTTGCGCGCAAAGCACCGGCCTGAAAAATGCCCCAAAATGCGTTTCTGGAGCGGCGGTGCGGATGTGTGCTGTAATAAGAAGTGCCCGC